AGGGGTCTCTCGTGGGGGTTCGAGGGGTCTCTCGCTGAAATCCGGGGGTCTCTCGTGGGGGTCTCTCGAGGGTTTTACAAAATTTATAAACATAAAATTTGTTATTAACAAAAAAAATTTTTTAATTTATTTTTTATATATTTAATTATTTAATTTTAATAATATATTTTTTGTAAAATAATATTTGTTAATTTATTAAAATTATTTATAATGATTAAATTAGTAGTTAGATTTATTTTTTAAATAATTTAACTTCATACCGACTTATCTACCGGTATAACTAACATTACCGACACAATAGATATGTCGGTATGAGAAACCCTTTGAATGCTGATACTTCTGGTCAAATAGTTGCGGATGGTGTCCGGTAGATGGCGATTCCGTTTCTCCCCCATTATTCTCTGTCCTTGTCTTACTCATTGCGGGAATAAGGAAAACAGTTAAACCCTATACTTTGATGATCATTTGAATCATGAGCATGATTTCAGCATTTTTTACGTACACTTTTCTATAGTTTAATTAATGTTTTTAATATTTCAGAGTTAGTTTACGTTAATTTTTCAGATAAGTAAATAAAATACTTATGCACTCATTAGTGTTTTATATAATAAATATTATATTTATGTGGAGGGGAAAGTGAAATATTTATAAACTGAATGAAGTGAACTGATATTTATTTACAATAATAATCGTCTACATTCTGAATAATTATTGACATTATGATTATTAATACCATGTAGAGGGCGGCATATTCAACTTTGATTTCCTATGTCGGTAACGCAGTTGACTTCTGGGATGTGAGTGTTTTAAAGTGTTCGTTTTGTCGGATACTTTGCTATGACTCATGTCGTAAGTGTTTGTAATATGTAGGACCTGTTTGTTTGATTCAATGTTTGATTAAAATAATCATTATCAGTGTCCCGATAAGCGTAAAAAAATACTTTAGTCTGATGTTCTGCAGAAAAAGGAACGCCCATGATTACACGAATGATTATACAAAATTTCTGGACGTAAAATGTAATAGGATGTCCAACAGTAGATCTTGTAACAATTAATTAACTTATTGATATTATGTAAGCGTAATAATACAATAGAAATATCCAAATGTTAAGGAAAATGGTTAAAATAAAGTGGTCGTTGACAAACACTCCAAATATTCTTAAGTAAGTCATCAAGGATAAGGATATCTAATGTTTTATCTTGTTTGATGGACTATTTGATTTGAATTTTTTATTTTCAGGCATCACTTAAAACAGAAATGGTGGCATTTTCAAATTACAATAAAATCTTTGTTCTACAATGATTTTTTAAATTGGAGTTATGTTTGTGATATTCTTTTGGATCCCATATTTTGGTTTGTAGAGATGTTCGTCGCCTGTTTAGGACCGGTAATTACATTGATTATATTTTCTATGTAGTTTGTACGAATTACTCGTTATGACATATATAATTGTAGAAGGTAAAAAATTGTTACATTGGCCACAATATATTTACTAAGCTTTACAGTTCACAGGTATTTGTAATATTGGTAAGCCTTTTAACTGCAAATATCGTATACGTTGCATATTACATTGGTCTACCATATTGGTGGGAGAAGAGTCCAACAATGACAGTAATCCTTCTGTTGATCGGAAATTGGCTGTTAGTAAATGTATGTTTTCATTATTACATGGGTGTGAACGTTCCAGCTGGTTACCCACCGCGAAGTGGCCTTATTCCAGAGGCTGTGAGCATTTGTAAAAAATGTATTAAACCAAAACCACCTAGAACTCATCATTGCTCTGCATGCAATAGGTGCATTCTCAAAATGGATCATCATTGTCGTATCCTTTCAGATTAATTATTAACCTAATACCCTCTTACATTTAAATACATTTCTTAACTCGGTAAACAGCATGGTTGAATAACTGTGTTGGTCATTACAATCACCGATACTTTTTCCAGTACATGGCTTTCACGGTGTTAGGTGTTTTATTTGTTATGTTGTTTGGAGTCGAAATAGCATACCAAGAATTTTTTCCTGCGCAAGATCCAGAGCTGGATGGACATCCTGTACGGATCAATAACTCTGAGATCATTCCTGTGGTAATTTTTAGATCTATTCTAATAAACAAACATTCTATGATAGAATTACTATAGCTGTAACACTGATTTCAGTCTGAATCGCTGGATCATTTAAGCGAAGAGGAATTAGCAGAAATAGCTAAACAGGCTGCCGACACTAAAGCTAAAGAATGGAGGCGACAACTTATAAATTTTGCAGCGTTAATTTGCGTAGCGACCTTCGCTGCTTTAGGAGCATTAATGTGGTGGCACGCGGGTCTTATTACCAAGGGGGAGACCAGCGTAGAGGCGCGTATAAACAGCACAGAATCGCAGAAATACAAAGCGCTCGGGAAGGTATACCAAAATCCTTATGATTTTGGCCCGAAGCAAAACTGGAAGCTATTTCTAGGTATAGTTGACAGGTAAATGGAAAACCAGCTTCGCTGATAGCAACGTTTCTATTACATAATCTATTACAGTAATCGGATAAATAATGCAGTGGTTGTCCCGCTTTGAATTACAGAAGTTGGTGGTACATACTTTTCCCGTCGAATCATGGCCCGTACGGGGACGGACTCACGTGGAAGACGATTCACGACGCAAAGATTTCTTAAGCCGAGTTTTTATAGTCCCAACGACTGAGCCTGCGTTTCTTTTGCAACAGTCAGGAAGAAGTTACTCAATTGCAGATTTTAAATGCCTCTAGTCAAGTCACAGTTATCTAGTGTTTCACACGACGCGCGGATCTAAACCGATTCACCGTTATTTAACACCGTTACAACGTATTTAAGACACCATGGAAAAATGAGAAACACGAGCAGAGAAATCACTTAGTATAGACGCGTGAGGATGATATTCGATAAGAACGACTGCAGTGAAATTCACCACGACATTGCGCTGTATATAATATTCCAAAAAGGTTTTCCAATGTTCTCCAAGATGCACTCTCGAATGTACTTCTAAGAAACGTATATCATTACCTCTAATATACATTATTCAGTAATATTAATGTTAAATGTATTTTCAACTTCTAATCTTTAAATTGATCGAGTCAATTATAGATGAAATAAAGGAATTTTTGATATCTTTGCAAAGTGAGACGTGTGTTCATGCGGCGAAATCAAGCTGTCGGCCAAACGATATCCTCTATCCAATTAATATAATGCGAGACCTTTGTGTACACTGCAGGCATGTTATCAAAAGCACAACCGAGTCCGAAGCTGGTCACGCCGACTAACTGGAACAGGCAGTTATTGTTCGGGTGAATTATTTGCAATGGTCCTCCTGAGTCTCCTTGGCAAGTGTCTTTAGACCATTTCTCTGAAGGTGCCCCGGCGCAGATCATATCCGGTGTGATTCCATTGGGCAATCGCAGTGAGTCAGTGTGTCTCAATGCACATTTGATGTTATCAATAATTTCCAGCTCAGCCTTTTGCAACGTATTACTGGATTCACCCACTGCAAACGATCAACCAAAAATACTTGTAACAATTCCTTATGCACAAACGGTTCAATGACGTTCAACTTACAGAATTCTAAATTACCCCAGCCACTGATCCAGGCTTTCGCAGGTACTCTCTCATACGTTTCGTACAAACAAGCAGGCTTGATACGATTATTGAATTGTATAACCTTGTTCAACTTTATGAGAGCTATGTCGTTGTACAGACTTGGAGGTTTGTATTCCGGATGGCGCACCGTTTCATTAATCGTCGTCGAAATGCCGCCTTTAGTGTTCCGCAAATCGTGGTAACCGATCAGTATATCTGTGGAACTGTTTTTCATGAACATTGTATAACCTATTCGAGGCGCATCAGAATATTACCCTCCGTGAGTGCAGTGTGCTGCGGTGAGTATCCACTCCGGTGCGATCAGCGAAGCGCCACAGGCAATTTTGAATCCTTCATCGGTTTTTTTACCCATAGCAACCATGTGAGGGAACTCATTAGGAGTAGCAGTGACACCTCCGACGACAAGTCGGTTCACCGGCATGCAGGTTGTAGTGTTCAACGTGATTGCAGTTGGATTTGACGTTAAGGGCGATATCACCGACGTGTCGACTGAACTTTGTCTTCCATATTCCTCGCACACTGAAACAAGGGAAATAACAATGAATCCAGTTAGTATAAAAAAGAGTAATCTAAGTAAAAGTTATTTCTTCAACACAAGCACACTTACTGCGCACTGACTTTGCTTTCGGGTGTCCAAATCTATCTTTTTCACCAGGAGTCTCATCTGTGTACGATATCTTCTCAGTGACTGGATTCCTGTTACTTTCAGTGTTACTTACAAAAGGCGTGGGGGCACGTGTACCTCCACTAAGCACTTCTTTTAAGAAAGGATTAGTATTGTGAGCAACCTGACCAGGCTTCCCACCATTGTTAGACTGCGAAGAAGGTGGCAGCTTAGTAGAATGTGTCAAGAATACGTTCCCATTCGCAGTCGCACCATCACTTCCAGACGAAACCTGACCAGGCTTTCCACCATTGTTAGACTGCGAAGAAGGTGGCAGCTTAGTAGAATGTGACAAGAATACGTTCCCATTCACAGTCGCACCATCGCCCAGGTGAGACGAGTTCCTATCTTTATTATCGCTTAGTGTGTTCTGTAGGAACGGGTTTTTGTTAATGTTATCGCTTAACGTTACTGTACGTTGGGGCTTTTTCTTTTTCTTTGAATTCCCTAAAAACACAGTGATCTTCAGAACGTAAACACGCCACGGGACAAGCAGAAAGGGACTGTTCACAAGAGAAATCATTCTGAAAACAATGCAGAAACGACACAGCGACACGAGGCAACAGTACACAAACGCAAAGCACGTGGGCAGAAGCGTGAAAGTTTAAGCGACTTACCCTTCGCGGACACCGTTGACGCCAGGAGGATCAGAAGGAACACTGTGAGCACGTTCAGTCGCAGTGCCATCGCATCGACGATACCGGTTCAAGTGGAACTTTTCAAGCGGGCCAACTCAACTGGAATCAGACCAAAAGAAAAGAGAAAGAAGCTCGGCCGAACGAGGAAAAACGATCGCTCGCCGATACTCGATGTTAGTCAAATAGAAAGTATCATCTCTTGGTCGTCGATTTGACTCACGTCGCATCGCCGATCCCATCGATCACACCCGCCATCATGCATGATTTTGTATACATATTTATGTGTACGTTCCCGTGCACCGTTCGACCGACTGGGATCCTCTTGCTTCCCACCGCCGCGTGGCATGTGCGCGGGTCACAAAAATCACAATCATACTGGCTTCTCTCGCTGCAGGAATTTTCCTAACAGCAAACGCAGCGCTATTTTTTCCTCGTCGCGCCTTGAAAGTAACATTTGCTTCGACTTACGTAACTCCCGCCGCGCAAACAAGAGAGGCCGGTTAATTATCGAAGAATGCGACCTTGAACCGAGCAAGGAAACCGTGCGGCTGGGTACCATTGACCCCTTCGTTGCTACATGCGCTATTTATAACAATCGGTGCAATTTCGAGGAACCAGTCTCGTTCGAAGATTGACCTCTAAGACTGACACAAGCATGACACTGGAACTGTCTACTCGACTTGATTTCTTCGAGTCCTTTTTGTAGAAGATTGACCTCTAAGATTGACACAGGCATGACATTGGAACTACCTACTCGACTTGGTTTCTCCTAGCCTTTTTATAGGACCAAGCAATTGACTCTGTCTCTTAGTTTAGTTATTGAAGCTTCTTTAGCCCTTTGTACTCGAGAGGTGCCTTTCACTCACTAATTGATTTCATACAGTAGAACTGTAAAATTTGATACTTAATATTGAACTCCGTACAATGCATCAATTTGAGAAATATTCAATAAATAGCGAAAGAAAAGATAAACAGAGTAAAAGGCGATACGTTGCTAAACGAAAAGTGGGAGAGATCTCCCCATTCGGTGGTTCCAGTGTTAACAATCCAAGATTTCTATAGAGCCGACTATGTAATAGAAACGCGAAAACAATTTCGAGATTCAACGCCGATAATCTAACCTTGACCCCTGCTATCCGGAATTATGCAATTAGCACTAGCAGATTATCCGTCCATTATCCGGTGCACCGATATAGATTGCTCCGACTGTTAACACAGAAGCTCCGTGTGCCGCCGGCGGTTCAACGGCGTATATAAGGGTCGCCGTTCAAAACCGGACGTCCATTCTGATAACCGATAAAAGCTGACAATGTATGGTTCACCGGGAATTTTGCTTCTCCTCTGCCTAATCGCGGCTAAACCAACGGTCCAGACGGAGCCGGCTGCATCGCCGAGAGTGGTGATCGTCGGAGCGGGTGCGTCGGGTATCGCAGCCGCGTCAAGGTTGCTCCAGAATGGCATCGACGACGTGCTGATCCTGGAGGCCGAGGGCAGGATCGGCGGACGAGTGAACACGGTCGAGTTCGGTGAGTTGAGATCGGCGCGATCAGGTTTTCCCGGTTCCGTTATAATTAGAAAGAATTTCGTCGTCGAGATAAATTTATGATGAGATCAAAGTAACGGGTCACGTTCAGCGTGCAACGTTGCAATGATGATTATATAGTGAATATATTAGTTTATACATTTTGCATTAATGTCTGCTTTTATAGCTTCTGAATATGTTATAGACATTTTCTGAATTTTCGTTTCTTCAACTGAACCGTATTGGTTTCTGAATATGTTATATAATAATTATCTATTGAAAAACATCAATTGTCTCAATTTTCGTTTCTTCAGCTGAACCGCATTGGTTTCTGAATATATTGTACAATAGTCATGCATTGGAAGACATTTTCTGAATTTCTTTTTCAACTGAACCGCATTGGCTTCTGAGCGACTCGGTTAATGCAGACACGTCGTGGCATCGTTTTCCTTTACTCTATCCTTCACGGAGTTGGTCCATTAAGCTGACGAGCAGATCAGTTAACCGGAACTGTGCAATAGGATAACGACCCCGTTTCTTCGTTTTCCCACTTAGACGACTACGTGGTGGATCTAGGCGCGCAATGGGTCCACGGGCACGAAGGGAACGTCGCGTACGACCTAGCGGCGCCGCTCAATCTCACCGACCACTCGGACCCATTTGTTTTCAAACTCTGCACGTCCAACGGAGCCGAAATCGATCCCGAACTCACGAATAACATCACAAACGTGTTCCTGTACTACCTAGAGCAGATGAATGACACCGACCTCGTGGGCTGCAGCGGTTCCCTTTCCTCCTGCGTCGAGCCCAAGTATATACATAGAGTTTAACCCCTTGCGGACGAGAATTTGTTAAACATTTGAGAACCTTATTGATAGATCAGTTATAAATACTAGAAGTTATAAATACTAGAAAGAAGACTACATCAGTCTCTCATTACTTGAATAATTAACACTTTGCACTCGGAAGTTCTTCACTAGAAATATTTCAACATTTCCTGCTGAGATACAGAGATATTTTATTTCAATATTTTTCACTTTTGGCAATTTTCACTGAAGTCAACTTATACCACTATACATAGAAAAACTCAGATATCATATTGTTATGTAATATATTTTAAATAGACAATCAATTCGAGTTAAATTTTATATTTTTTCAATGCTGTGGTAATTAGCGAAGTCGCATAGTGTTAAAGTATTAGTGTACGCAATGTGTTAAATATCAATTTTATAGTTTCACTGTATGAAGTCAAATGTGAGAGCTGAGCGCAAAGGGCTAAATTCATCTGCAGCTGGAATTTGGATATCAAAGTTTGTCTCTATTATGACAATATTCAACCGCAAAGGGATAATACCAGAATTAGATGAATCGTTAGACACATTCAATGCGCATTTGACAGATTGAGAGAGGAATTAGCTCAATATCCGGCGCTGAACGAGACGACGATAGAGGAGCTGCTCTGGACGTACAACATAATGGTAACTGGGCTTGACCCTGCCGACACATGGGACGACATCGCGGCGTGTCAAGGCAACGAAGAAGGCTCGGGCGGAGACAGAGCTGTTAACTGGAAGAATCGCGGCTACAGTACCATTCTAGACATCCTAATGGTCCGTATTCTAAACCATTCAATGACCCAATACCGTGGAATGCAATGTGACACGCTTGTTCCGTTTAGAAAAAGCTGCCGAACCCAGAGGAGGAGCTGCCGGTGCTGAACAAGACGATCCTGAACGCCGAGGTGACGAAGATCGACTACTCGAGCGAGGACGGTCCCGTGAAGCTGACCACGAAGGATGGCAAAGAGTACGTCGCCGACCATGTGATAATGACGCCATCTTTGGGGGTGCTGAAAGCTCAGCACGAGGCGATGTTCAATCCCCAGCTGCCGGAGTCGAAGATTAAGAACATTAAGGTACGGTACTCTCGGTAATTAACGAGTAAGTCTCAGTAATTAGTGAACAGATTAGTTGAAGATTTACTGCTTCAGAACATAGGCTTCGGGAACGCGGCCAAAGTCTGGCTAGCCTTCGACGACACCTGGTACAACGAAAGGGACTTCAAGAATCTCGTGTATCTTCTGATGTGGAGCGACGCGTACCGGAACGAGCTGGAGAACGACGTGAGTATACGTCGACCTTGAAGAACTGTATTGTTATATTCATAGTAATCGATATGCTCCGTTAGCCGAAGAAGAAGTGGATGCCGTACACGGCGTCGGTGAACATCGTCGAGCACAAACCTCGTTTGCTGCTGCTGTGGATCTCTGGGAAAGGTGGGGCTCTTATGGATGACCTCACGGACGAGGAAGTCCTCGAGCACTCGAAAGAACTGCTGCACAGCTTCTTCTCGAAGGATTACAATGTCACTGATCCGGTGGCAATGATAAGGTACGGTTGTCTTCTAGCTGTGATATTCTGTCTTCGAGTTTATCTCTGATTGCGAAATCTCGTTTCTCGTTTACAGGAGCAAATGGCATCAGAACAAGCACTTCCGGGGGACGTACAGCTACCCAAGCGTGGACACCGCTAAGACGCAGACGAGCGCACGGCAGCTGGGCGAACCAGTCTTGAAAATGGGCAAACCAGTAGGTTCTTTTTCCAGTGAGTCGTGTTCAGGATTCACAGCGTGGTCTTTTCAGGTGATCCTGTTCGCCGGCGAGGCCACCAACCCGGGCAACTACGCAACGGTGCACGGCGCCATTGGCGCCGGATGGCGGGAGGCTGATAGACTGATAAGCTTGTACTCCAAAAACAAATGAACTCCGTATCGACGAAGAGCGAGCCGAGAAAAACAGCTGTTATCGAGTGCCTGTATATTTACAAATGTAGAGGTCACGTTTGACTCGTCAAGGTGATTGGCACAACACCGTATCAGAGTGTCTATTCACCTCGAGCTGCGAGTGTGTAGATGTATGTATATATTCTATAAGGAACACGTGCAGAGTATGTTGTACGACCAATTGTTTAATACCTGATACGGCAGACAGGTTTCAGCGTTTTGCGCCGGTGTCGGTGACAGTGGGGATTTCCTGAAATAAAAATGATGAATGAGAAACGCTTGGTTCCATGTTGCTTGCCTTGAGATCCCGTCCACCTTGCTACCAGAGTTCCCCGACACTGTTTTATATTGCCTCCGCAATTGGCATCCTTTGCACAGTATGCAAGCACTGTGAAAGCTCTGGCAATCGGTTACGTGTTGCTCGTTCAAGGTCTCGCCATCAGGCAGAACGTTGAACCCGGTAAAATCTCTGATCCAAGAGATCTGACTGGCAATGCGCCCGGGGAACAAATCCTCTCGCATTTCGCTAGCAAGACTTACCGGAATTTGGAAGACCTTGTCAATGAAACTATACTGAACAACTTCAGTCGCCTCACTGAACTGTCGTGTCCGTTCTAGAGCAAGAGGTTCTGGGAAAACTTAAAAAGAGATGTTAGTTAAGGCAAGCATTTAGCGCGTATTCACTTTTGATTAATTGGCTCGTCGTACCTTGTTTCTTCCTCCTGCCACAAACTTGGACGGGTCACAAAAATTACGATCGCACTGGCTTCCCTCGCCGAAGTGATTTTCTTAATGATCAATGCAATATTTTTCTCCGTTCCGTCTTGAAAATAACGTTTAATTGGATTCCTGTAATTTCTCCCGCCACGCAAACAAGCGAGGGGATTAATCATTCGAGGATATTAATAGAAGTCACTATCTTCAGCCTGTAAGCTGACCATAGGACCAGCAACTGCTGAAAACCGTTCAGAACTATCCCAGATTTCTGTAGAATTGGCTATGTAGAAACGCGAAAACGGCACTGAAAAATTCTGCAATTCTGAGCAGATAATATAAGGGTTGCCGCTCAAAACCAAGCGTCCATTCTGATAACCGGTTCACCGGGAAGTTCGCTTCTCTGCCTGATCGCTGCTAGGGGTCCAGACGAAGCCGACAGATAAGCCTGTTCTCCGAAAGCAAATGAACTCCAGCGTATCGGAGAAGAAAAAAACCAAGAAAAACAGCTATTATCGAATATATGTATATTTACAAATATAGAGTTCACAGTTGCAAGGATTTTTTGAATTTCAAATGGACGCGGTTACATCGGCGTTCGGCGTTTCATGATTGACCGATGACCACGGACGTGTCGCTCGTTTCATCGCTTCCGAACCTTGAACATTCTCGAGCGTCAAGCACGTCGTGGTCATCAGTCGTCACTCTATTCATACTTGCCGTCTCTCTACGTTCACACTGCGTTCATACTTGTCCATCTTCACAGCACGTTCACACCTGCTTACACATTTGACTTTGTCGAGTAATTGGCACGACAGCACCGTATCAAACAGAATCTCTCTCCGCCTCCAGCCAGAACTGTGCGCGTGTAGACGTATGCGTATATATTGTACGAGGAACATGTTCGAACTGTACCTATCGTTGACTGTGCCGGCCACGTTGTACGATCAATTCTTTAATACCTGATAGCGTAGAAAAGTTTGAGCCTGTTTCGCGCCGGTGTCGTAGGCGCCGTGCGTCGTGGAGAAGTAAGTGTCGTTGGTCGCTTCGCCGGCGAACATAACGGTGGGCATGTCCTGGAATAAGAATGACCGATCAGGAACGCTTGGCAAATAGGGAAAGCCAGAAACGAATGTAACAATCCAGGTCGTGAAAGCATCAAAGCTACTGCTTGGCAAATAAGTTTCCACCGACAGATCTACCTTGCTGCCAGAGTTCCCCGACACCTTGCTCCAAATTGGCTCCGCCAGGATCGCCGGCGTGATGCCTTTGTCGTCGCACCTCGTCGGGATGTAGCTGTAGCTGCCTCGAGCGTACGGATTCGAGTTCCACTTGGTTCGCAGACACCTCTTCACCGGTGGTATCGAGTCGAGGTTCAGGAACTGCTTGAGTAGGCTCTCGCAGTCGGCTGCCACCTGTTGCTCGGTGAGGGTCTCTATGGTGTAGGCCCCCCGGCCGCCGACCCAGCCGAGGAGAACACCGTCGCGATCGGGCAGAACGTCGAAGCCGGTAAGATCCCTAGCCCACGAGGCCTCTGTTGTACCGTTCGGTGTCTCTGACTGGCAATCCGCCCAGAGGAACTGAAATCCCTTCGTGTCCCGTTTCCACCAAGCTTTACCGAAGTCCAGGAAGACCTTGTTAATCAAACCGTATCCAAGATTTTCAATCGCCTGACTGAACGGTTGCGGTAAAGGTGGAACGAACATGGCCTTGTGATTGTCTTTCAGGTAACCGAGGGAGCTAGTGATAATCACGCAGTCAGAGAGGATCCGAGTACCGTCGGACAGTTTCAATACAACAGGTGCCTCGTGATTCTTATCGACGACTCGATGCCATTCCACGGAGTCCACGATGGTGTTCAATCTTAGGTTCGCCGCGCTCAACCTGCTGGCGATCGTGTTCGTCAAGCTGCTGTAGCCGTTCTTGAACAGGAGGTTCTCGGAACCGCCGACAAACTGAAAGAGGAGGACGTTAGTTTCAGGCAAACGCTGAATATTATGTGGACGTTCACCTGGAACTTGCACCAATATTTGGTGGACAGGTCGTCCAACGTGAAGCAGGAATTATCGATCACCAGGAATCTGATGTTCCAATCCATCAGCTCCTGCTTTATGCTCGCCGTGGCCGGCGAGTCGTTCGTTTCCTGCAAGTGGTGTTTCAACGCGTTCTTCAGGACATTACCGAGATTCTCGAAACCCTCCTCCAAATATTTCGTTTCGTTCTCGCAATCCTCTAGAGTGTCGCGAACGAGGTCGCGTATCTCTTCTACCAAGGCTGGGTCTACGTCGACGCCGTTGTCGCGGACGAAGACGCCCTGGCCGTCTCTGAAGTCGATGTCGGAAATTAGGTCGTGTTGGTAGCACAGCTCTCCCAATTGACTTTGATCCCCGTGCAAGAACTGAGCACCGCACTCTATCCAGCCTTCGTTCCACGGTATCGTTCGTATCCGGCCACCGATTTCACTCTGGGCTGGAAATAAATGGTATCTGTGAGTTCAAGGAGCTCCGTGAACGAATGAAAATTTTGTGTTACCTTCGATCAACAAGTAATCCTTGAAATTCGCTTCCTCCAGTGTCTTGGCGGCTGCCAATCCCGCTATACCTGCACCTACTATCGCAACTTTCGTTCTTTCCGTTATTTCATTCGCAGTATTCAACTTCTTCCCCATTTTGTCGAAGCTGTTTACTACTTGCTTTAACCAACCACACGTTCTACATGATTTGAATTGTGATTTTTTTATTAACATTTGATCGGGAACCACGCCAAGATTTAGTACATATAGGTGTGGTAACACATGTGTATATTCTTGTAATAGAGAAAACATATAAATGTAGATAACAACTGATAAATGCGATAACAAAATAGTAAAAGAAAAATATTTTCCTTCGATTAATGCTATGATACATATTCTCGTTAAAGTAATTGTTTTGGTATCGATGCTTAAAGGTAAAATCATGTAAAAAGATATAAAGAGTTAGTTTAACACGTTGCAAGAGCTCTCACGCAAGCTAACATTGTTTATTGGGAAATGTATGTATGAAAAGCCTCTGATCCTTGTTTGGATGTTGTGAAGCATCAAGTAAGTCTATAGTTTACCGTCATCCTTTAGGAAGAAACATGCTGCTCTGGCTAGAGCTGTGACTTTAACCGCCTGAGAAAAAGCACGCTAATCAATAATAATGTCTCACCTTCATCGCGAAGAATGTTCTAAATTAATGGAAAATCAACTCATCTAAATGAATGGTAAAGCAAAGTAAAAAACACATGTGTGATAAACGATGATTTGCGAGTTAACATATAATGAAAATCAGGATGATCAAACTGATGCTGCGAAGGCTCGTCGAAGCCATGCAATGATCTAAGAAAACGATGTTACCTTAGGATTACTTATCGTTTAATCATCCCTAGAATCATTACTTGCAATTAAAAATCCTTTATCACAGCTGGAATGGGTGATCAACAAATCTACGCTATTCTACATCGTGATGACGTGATTTTGAGTAAGCCTTAAACATTCATTGGAAGTCGATAGAGTGTTCAATCTACCTATGGAAGTCGATTATCCTATCCGCTTCTCTGAACCCAGTTTCAACCGCTCCGTGCACGGTGGAGTAATAATGATCATGCGTTGCTTCTCCGGCAAACAAAATGCTCTACGAATAAAGGAACGTTTCAATGATCATTCGGTGGAAATGCATTTCAAGTATACGTACAGGTTTCCCATCAGCTGCCAGAATTGGTTTCGCTAGATCTTTAGCTTCTACATTTAGCTTTTCAGTTGTCTTGCTTCTAAAGCTATAACATCCACGGAAATGTTCATCGGTATACCATGATGACCTGTAAGCATGAATGACTATAGCAGTGCTCACGTATAAATAAATAACCAGTACTTCATAAGGCATTACCTAAGCATTTGATCAAATTTTGGGATATTATAAGACTTCTCTAGAAACGTTTCCAATAAAAGTTGCAAGCCATCGGACACATCGCTATCGGAAACCAATTCTAAATGTTTTGCATGTTTGCCAGCGATCCAAGCGCACAATACTCGTGGCTGATAGTCAACAGCAATAAGTGCGAACACGTCGCATAGCCACTCGCATTCCTAAGCATCGCAATAAAGATTCATTACGTTCAGAAAGCAAACACGTGGACACGCGTCTGTACAATTACATTAAATGCAACTTTACTTGTCCATGGGATTTAAGGAACCCTTCCTTATCTTCCTTGGACCATATTAAACTGAAACCAGCGCAATCTTCTGGCCACCACCTATGCGGAAATTCTAGAAAAATTTTGTTTACAGTTCCAATGCTCAGACCCTAAACAACGCGTAGCAAGTTAATTTTAAATTGAAAGTGAACTATAATTACATAATACAAACACCTGGACATTACCAATTAATGTCACACTTTTACCGTACCTTTATTGCATGTTGTTTGTACTGAGGTAAACTTGGCGTAAACATAGTATCGTGTTTCTCTTTCAATACCCCAAGAGAAGCAGTGAATATGACATGAGATGCTGTGTACTTTGAGCCATCCTTTGTCTTTACAATTATATTATTATTCGACGTATAGTCGATACTGCAAACATCCTTATTAAATTCTACTTTCTCCATTATAGGCAGTACATGTTTTGTGCTTGATAGTTTCTGTGGATAAGATAAACAATAAGATGTGTATCATGTATCTTCTACAGAGTGTTATATAAGTACAGAAATTGGGCATACAGATAACAAATTAAATAACGTTTTGTAGCCATGATATTTCCAGTTAAGTATGAGATCTCCCTCGCATGTCCAATACTCTGTGATTCCCTTCGCAGAGACATCAAACCATGAATCACTGCATTGAATTGAATTATCAAATTTTTCCATCCAGTCCAAAAATTGTTCAGCTCTATCGCGGCTAGTAAATGGATTTTTCTCAAAAATATTGTAAAATCTGAAATAAAAATTTATTCTCGTCAGTTCAGTACCTTTTGAGAAAAATTTTAATATACTAATAAATAAGTCTAAAGTATTCCTTAATTATTTTACTGTATCAACATTTAATTTTATGTGTCTAGAATTCCAAATTTCATATTGGAGTAAGCGTCGAATTTCGTAAATTCTGAAATCTAGCGGGGAAAGTGGTACGTGATGCGATATGAGTAATCGGCCTTGGAATGTGGAGGGGAAACTGTGATATGTTTGTTACAACTGGATGGAAGATATAATTGGATATACGCGCGTATATACGCAAATAATGTAGTTACAGCATTTTAGAATGTACAATTTTCGTTGTCGGATTTCGTGGTAATTTCCTATCATGTTGTAAATTACAGATGTATGAAAATATGTTCTCAATTATTTGGTAATTTGCGGGGACGTGGTGTAACGTTATACCTAAAAAAAAAGATAGTACTTATAGATACTTTTGTTTTCTACTTATTGTTTATCATGTTTGCCAAAAGGTAAGACCCTGTGTTAATCCCAGATAAAATATTTAAGCAAAAACATGTCTTAAATGCAGATCCAGTCTTCTTAAAGATATAGATAAGAATCTCTCACTGTCTCATTATTGCAGTCACTTTGATCCTGAATTAGAAAGGCTCAGAAAAGAAATTGATGGCCCGCCAAACTTGGATACAATTGCATTAAATATACAAAGGATTACTTCTCACATTCATGCATCTTACTTGTTCAGACACATTGGAAAGTCAACATTGCAAAAATTATGTTTGCTATTAAGCTCTACTGCTACAGGAAAAGGATATAGTGGATGGCAAGAATTTGCAGCACATCTGGGCTTGACAATAGAGCAAATACGTGTATGCACATCTAACATGTTAATGTACTTGTTTAGAAATGTTTCTTTTAATATGCAATGTAGTAATCTATTTTTTTGTAGTACATAGATTATAATAATTGCAAAGGCCAAGAGGATCCCACTTATTATGTGTTGTTAGCTTATGTGCAACGTGCTGAGGCAACTATAGGCAACATTATAAATACTTTGCAGAAAATGCATCGTTATGATGTGATTAATCAAATAAAGGATGACATTTCTTATTTACGGGATGTTATTCAACAGGAATCTTCAGTTGCTGGTACTTCAGTGATTAGTTTCAAAATGTAAACTCTTTATATTCTCTGTAGGATTAAAAAGTAATCTTCATATTTATAGAATCCAGTATATTAAAGACTAAAAGTATTCCAAGAGCTCCTTTAATTTTAACTCCACTGGAAGATGTACAAGAAATACAAACTACAAAGAGTCTTGACTCTGAAAATACCTATCAAAATAACTTACAAAAGGTATGTTAGAACTTTCCAAAAATTTGATTCCAATTAAAGGTATACAAATTTTCTTTCATAGAATAAGCAGAAATATGGGTGTGTAGTTATGCTAACGTTTGCTGAAGATGGATTGGTAACAGCACAAGATATATCAAAAATATTTAGGTCAAATGAGCCCAAGATTGGGGTACTCATACTTCAAGAACAAGAATACCACGTGTACAGCAAAGCAGAAGCATTTATAAATGATTGTTTCAACCAAGTAAAATAACCTTATTTACTTATAATTAGGTAACCTATTAAATTACTTATATTCTTCATAATACCCAGGTGGATTTTATCATACCAATATTAACCAAAGGATATTTGGAAAAAATAAGTATTTCCAAGAAAGATTGCGAAGATCAAAATAAATTAGATAGTAAATATATAAAATATATATATTCCTTAATGATAAATGAGTATGTAATGAAACAATGTATTAATTCTCGTGTGAGGTATGCTTCTTAGTATTCTCTATTTGTACTTGATATATTATTATAGATGTAATGAATATATGGTTTTTTAGGTGCATAGTACCTGATAAAGAAGTTCACACAATCGTGAAAACAAATGTGCATCCAATTTTTCAAGCATGGTTTAAGGAAACTTACATTGATACATTTATAAGTAACTTTCTTGTACAAAAATATTCAAGATGACAATTTACTATAATAAATTCAGATGTCATTCATATGCGTGTATGTGTATGATTATTAATTTTACTTACTGTTTTACAAAATATTCTCCATATGAATTTGCATTGTGTACATCATCTGACATGTGCTCGGAAATATCATAATATATTTTTAATACTTCTGCGGCTTCTTTTTGTGGCAGTACTTCACCCTTTGCATTGACAAAAACATGTGCATTAACATCATTAAAACATCTCGATGAATCCAATAGCTTCTGTGGAAATGCAAGATCAAAAACAACATTTCCTTGTTCACCGTGAACCCATTGTGCTCCTAATTCAACAACATTATCAGCTGGAAAAATATATAGATCTTTTAATTGATGGTAAACATTAATTTCCGGTTAATCTAAGCATTGATTTTTATCGTTTCCAAGCGTAAATATAAAAGTTTAACGTACAAAATTCTACCGTGTGTATTCTACCGCCAATTCGGTCTTTTCCCTCCAAAATCGTTACATTTCCCAAGCCGTTTGCTAGCAATCTAGCTGCAGCAGCAATACCAGCAGCTCCTGCACCAACAATAACAATTTTTGGTCCGGTAATCATCATTCGTTTTAACACTTTCAAAGAACAAAAGACACTGCCGAAATGTTCTCGCGTACTGTCGATGTTCGCACATAAGGTTTTCTTTCTAACTAACGTTTGTACCAAACGAAATACTCAGATAACCATATCGTGATCCTCGAACTACGACGCAAGACACAAGCACGTATTATTTGTCTTATGACCCAATCAGATGATTGGATATATGACAGCAATCGAGATGTCTATAAAGATGTAAATGCCGTTATATATCTTATCTCTGTATTTAATGTTGCGTTGCTTATAATTACTTCTGTTAAAAAATATTTTATTCAACGATTTGTGCCATAACTTGTGTAAACAGTCTTCGACTATAGTAAGTTCTGCTTGTTCGAAATAGTGTAATGTTTTGGTATAGGTTATGAACAAGTTTTACCAATTATTAATGTTCAACGATGAATGTAAACGTGTGAATCTTTGATTGAAATATATTATTAGTTAAAAAATATATATATACTTAACGAGTTTGCAATAATGGCACAAGAAAGGGATGAATTATCTCGAAAGGTAAGTACACCATAGAAAGTGTACAAAATTTCAATTATGAGCTGTGAACTATTAATACCAATAAATAACATTAAAATTGCCATTCGTTCTGCAATTTAGAGACACAAAAGGGAAATGGAGAAGGAGAGTAGTCCTTTAGAAACAGATGACGATTATGTCCCGTATATACCAGTTAAAGAACGCAAGAAACAGAGATTAGCTAAACTGGGCAAGCTTGGACAACTTAAAGATGAAGCTGCTGCTGGAATTATTGGGAAAAGCAGCAGTGAAAATGAGAAGGATGATGCAGATGATGACGATGGTCAAGTATGGGGAAGAAAGTCGAATATTTCTCTTTTGGATCAACATACAGAGTTAAAGAAACTAGCAGAAGGTATAACACGATAAATATTCTTTAGAAAACTTCTGTTTAAATTTATATTAATTAAACTTGATTAATGAAACATTTAGCCAAGAAAGAAAGTGCTATGGAGAAGCAGCTGAAAGAAGAAGAAAAGATCTTAGAAAGTGTGGCAGAAAACAAAGCTTTAATGGGTGTAGCAGAATTAGCAAAGGGTATTCAATATGAAGATCCAATAAAAACTAGTTGGCGTCCACCCAGAGCAATACTAGCTCTTGGTGAAGCAAGGCACGAAAGACTTAGAAGGAAGCTAAGAATTCTGGTGGAGGGAGACGATGTTCCACCTCCTTTGAAAAGTTTTAAAGAGATGAAATTCCACAGAGGGATCTTGAATGGTTTAGAACAGAAAGGTATTGTTAAACCTACACCGATCCAAGTACAAGGAATACCTACAGTGTTAGTATACGCTTAACATACTCTGATATTACCCTCTTGATACAATAGAATATCATTTCAAGCTCTTTTTCTAACATTGTAGATTATCTGGCCGTGACATGATTGGCATTGCATTCACCGGTAGTGGAAAGACATTGGTATTTGTGTTACCAATTATAATGTTCTGTTTGGAGCAGGAAGTGGCTATGCCATTTATAAGAAACGAAGGGCCGTACGGTAAGTATTTATGCTTTGTTCATGCAGGGAAACTCAATCGCATCAAATATAATTTCTATTCATTTTATCCTCACAGGTTTGATCATCTGTCCATCGCGGGAGTTAGCGAAACAAACGTACGACATTATTAGACACTACACAAACAGCTTACGCCAAGCTGGCTGCCCCGAAATTCGTAGTTGTTTAGCTATTGGTGGTGTACCTGTATCCGAATCTTTAGAAGTTATTAACAAGTAAGATGTCAATACATTATAATCTCTTTTCGAGTACTATATACCACAATCATTCTCATTACAGGGGTGTACACATCATGGTAGCTACTCCAGGCCGGTTAATGGATATGCTAGACAAGAAAATGGTAAAACTGAGCGTTTGTCGTTATCTGTGCATGGACGAAGCGGATCGTATGATCGACATGGGCTTCGAGGAGGATGTGCGAACAATTTTCTCGTTCTTCAGGGTAATTGCATTTCGCTACAATACTAGTAACTTCTCCCTTGTGGTTCCTATCTATAAAAATCGAATGCTCTTACAGGGTCAGAGGCAAACTTTACTCTTTTCCGCCACTATGCCGAAGAAGATACAAAACTTCGCTCGTTCCGCTTTAGTGAAACCTGTGACGATCAATGTAGGCCGCGCAGGTGCTGCGTCAATGAACGTGATTCAAGAAGTTGAATACGTCAAGCAAGAGGCGAAAATCGTGTACCTTTTGGAGTGCTTGCAGAAGACTCCGCCACCAGTGCTTATATTCGCCGAGAAGAAGCAAGATGTAGACGCGATCCACGAATATTTATTGCTGAAGGGAGTTGAAGCAGTAGCGATACACGGTGGAAAAGGTACATCGTACTTGATACTTCAGAAAGCCACTCCTGCCTTCAATGTTCCAATTACTTAAACGCCTCTTTTACAGATCAAGAAGAAAGATCACGGTCCGTGGAAGCTTTCCGCGGCGGTCGCAAAGATGTACTAGTCGCGACGGATGTCGCGTCCAAGGGTCTCGACTTCGCCGACGTGCAGCACGTAATAAATTACGACATGCCTGACGACGTGGAAAATTATGGTACGTCGTACTTTCGCGAGCAAATTAAAACACTAATCAATGTATCTTACAACAATGGTAATGATTGCAGTACACAGAATCGGAAGAACCGGTCGTTCAGGGCGCACCGGCATAGCGACGACGTTCATAAATAAGGCAAACGACGAATCTGTGCTGCTTGATCTGAAGCATTTGCTGATGGAGGCGAAGCAAAAGGTCCCACCGTTCCTGTTGGAACTTTGTTCCGAGAACGAGAAGTATCTCAATTTGGGAGGTGAGACAGAAATGTTAATCACATTCATGGCCATTCTTTGTCTCGCTCCGGAACGAAGAATAAATTGTGCTCTTATTATATTACAGACGAACGTGGTTGCAGCTATTGCGGCGGTCTTGGTCACAGAATCACGGAGTGCCCGAAGCTGGAGGCCATTCAAAACAAGCAGGCGTCGAATATTGGGCGGCGGGACTATTTGGCCAGCAACGCTGCCGACTATTAAAGCAAACGTTTTGTGTACACCGTTCCCGGCGTAATTTTGTCGCGTGTAAATAATTTCTTACAGTTTGTACTTCTAGTTAGTAAGCCAATAAAATGCAAATCGCGCCAAAGGTTTCTGTTTTCATCTTTCACTCGCGATGCGTTTGTTTCCTTTGGTGCAAGTTCGGTTGACGATAACGGTGAAATAAGGGGCGAGGACTTCTCGTTGGTTTGGCGTTTTCTGTAGGGAAGACTCGAACGGAAGATGATTCAGTTGAGAGGAGACAACGAAGAGCACGAGAAGGTCAAGGAAAAGAAGGAGGACGAGTTGGCGGAACGTCGACGGCTGCTGATGGAGAAGAGCGCCGTGAAGCGTCGAACACGTCAAACGCACATCGAGCGCAGAGATGCAACGGAAGCGGAGAGACTGCAGCGTGCCAAAGAGGCCTTCGACCTGAAGCTTCGTCGAGCCGAACGCGACGAGAGACTAGCCAAGGAATTGGCGCGTCGCAAAAGTAATTTCGATGGCAATGTTTTACTCATAAATTTATTTTGGACTGAACTCATGAAAAATCCTTTACAGATCAGGAACATCAGGAATCTTTTCAGAGAAGGAAAGCAAGGCACTCTTTCTCAATCGTTCCAGACAGTGTTGTGCGAGACTTGGAAGCAAAATTGACCAAAGAGAAGCAGCAAGATGGATTGTGTTCGGAATCTAAGTGGCCTTTCAGCGATGAGGACCCTGAGCGGCTGCAAGAGAAGAAGCTAAGTTACAGAAGGGAGTTGCAGAACCAGCTGATAAACAATCGTCGCAGGCAGCGCGAGAAGGAAGAAGAGAAGCACAGGGAACGTAAGATACTGGAAGAAGTCGGCGAAACATTGCGGGAAGAGGAGCTGGAAGCGGAGAAGCTTAAGAGAGACAAGGCTCTCCTGCTGCAAGCTGAGAGAGACGCGTTCCTGAAGGCCAGGCAAATTTGGAAAGACAAACGGAGGGAGGTTCTGAAGCGGGAGCACGACGAGATCGCACGGATTATTAATCAGAAAGAGACTCGGCAGAAGGAAGAGGTCCAGCAGAAGGTTTGCAAGGAAACTCAAAGCAGTTACGCGTCTGGTTTACATTCCTAAGTGATACATTGACGAGTTTCTAGACTGACATTCAGTCTGGCAAGGACGCGATGGCGGAGGAAGTGGGGAAGCAGATTCAAGAAGCGGAATCGAGGAAGATGGAGCGCGAGAGGATCTGCCGTGAGCTGTACTTGGCGGAGAAGGAGAACGAGTTGGCCAACGAGGTGATGAGACTAGCGTTAAAAAAGAAACGCACTGCGAGGGACCTTCTGGAAGATATGGTAAAGTTGCGATAGACATTGACAATGTTCACTAGTGATTGAAATTATAATATTCAATATACAATGCCAACAGGCAAGGCACCAGAAAGCAGCTGCAGAGAGGAAAGCTAAAGACGACGCCATCGACGCAGCGTTTGCTAGGTATCTAGCCGAGGAACACAGGAAGATGGAAGCAGAAGCAACGGAGAAGGAACAGAGACGTCGTGAAGCAGGTTCTGTAATGATGCGTCGAGTATGGAGAAACAATGCGTCTAAGATATTCGTCTCACAGTGACACGTTATGGGGACAAGTTGAGAGAGGCGTTAACGAAGGACAGGGTGCGGTTTATAGAGGAAACCGCTAGGCAAGATGGAGAGGGAAGACACGACAGCGAAGTTTGTAGCAAGGAGAAGGCGGAAAGTTGCTCGGAAACAGCTCCGAAGAGCTTGGAGTCTCGACGATCGAAGAACGCGGCATAGACGAGCGTGTTCAGCTGCGGATCAGATTTGAATGGGCTGTTCCTACGTCTATTTATTGGTATACAGTTATGTACAATGGTGGGCGAACGGTGTCGCCGTGTCGCGGCTTCCGTGGCTCTCGTTATTTGTACAAAGTCCGTGTAAAAATACAGCAGCCCCATCTTATATAGGATATAAGTACGCAATAAATAAACTGCGGACGTTTATGCGGACCCACTGTGCCATCCGTGGCCACGAGAACAGCGAGTAGAAATGTTTATTCGAGTCGGAACGGTGTATAAAATATCCGTAGTCCAGCGATGACGGTAATAGCAATACTATTCGGTCTCTGATCAGCTATAGGCTCAGAGTAAAACCAAGGAGCACCGGAGTCTGCGATTTCCTTGAACTACGTTAGTTATCGCTGGACTACGGATCTTTATGACTGTATGTTATATAATAATATTCGAGATTCAGAGTATCGAAAGCATCTAATTTGCTCTAGAGTCGCTCATCCGCTCGCCGTTGAAGATTCGCATAAATGTCCGCGGTCTAGTTAGTCACTGAGATCGCGGAAAATAATTGCTTTATCCCCTCGAATCTCCTACGCCGTGTTTACGATAAAATGGATATGCTTGGACAATCGGAATTATTCTCTACCCACTAACGCTGGGATCTGTCAACAGTCTCCGAGCCTGTCGCTGTCTAGCGGACGACAAAGGGGATAGGGCGACGTGGCCACTGGCTCAGAACCGGCCAACTTCTCGGAATGTAACACAGATCGGTCTTAAAAGTAAAATCACATTTCCTTACGCAACCCATTCGCTTATGTTCGTCTTGATCTTGGATCGCTCCCCGAGAGCAACCATTAACTACCGAGCCGGAGTCCCGAAGACTCCAGGATCTTACGAAATAAACATTGTATAACAGAAACGAAATTTCAGTGTCGATTACTCTAACGCTAAATGGAACTCGTCGCTAAACGCTTGGTTAATGGAACGATATAAAAAATTTATTGCGTGAGAAAGGAAATTTCAAGTCCACCTCAGCGGATCCTTGTCCAAGAGAACATTTCTATCGGTGATTAATTAGTTAATCGATTAATTAACACAAGACCTGCGTCGTTAGGCCAATGGGTCGATTAAGTGTTTCGCGTGCAGCAAACCCCATCGCGTAACAGTTACAAAAAATCACATGTCCTTACGGTTTAAATACTCGCACACGGCAAGTCTGCTCGTTTCGACCTCGCGCGGCTGGATTCCGTTCGCGGCTCGTTCAGGGCTGAACAAACGAGCGACGCACCCTCGTTCACGCTCGGTTCCTGGCAGTATTCGTCGCGGGATCCTCGCGGAGATCGGAGAAACGGTTCGCCCGCGTCCTTCGCGTTTTATTCCTATCTAATTGAATCGAGTACCGTCGGCGTACCAGTACGAATCTCTTACAAAAAAGGCTTCTCTCTCTCTCGATTCGTCGACGAAAACGGGGAGGAAAGAGTCCCCGAGGCGATCTTGCGACGGAAAGGAACTTAAAGACTCGCTGATTGCAACTTGGAGCGCTCAACGCTGGAACTAGTCGGTCGAATTCGCTTCGAGTGTCCCATAGAAATTAAGATGAAACGTTTAATGAGATTTCGATCGGCTCGCGTCTTAACGCAATCATCGGTGAATCAATTGGAGGTGCATTTCAGCGATTCGTCTGGTAGTTCCAGCGTCGAAGCGGTCGCGGAGGGGAATGTTTATCGCGTAACGAGAAAAATGATCGCTCGAACAACGAGTATATCGACTAATAGCACCGGCGATTAAGTGTCTTGCCTAACTAACGATCTACACACGATCCGACGGGGCAAATGAAATTCACGGAAAGCTAGTAGAGCGTGTCGTTCGTCGTCGGACTGTGGATGTTTTACGCGGACTCGCGTTTGCCGGGACATCTCATCGGCGAAGGGAAAAGAAGCTCGCTACACCTCAACGAATACATCGTCTACGCAAAGAAGAACGTGAACGACAATCGAAAGTAATCATTTCGAAGCGCATAAAAATCCGCAGTCCGTTTCCATCGTTCTCGTACTCTTTTATACAGTCTCAAAAATATAAATAGCTCGACGAGATTAGCTATCGTCGTTGATCATCGTCGTCATCGTTATCATAATCATACTCATCATCATCGTCGTTCGTCATCGACGTCAGTAGCATTAGTATCATCATCATTATCATCATCGTCATCATCATCTGATCATCACTTACGCATTGGAAATGCAAATAATCCGGCAAGGTTTACACCGCGGTTAGGAGTAGCCGGACAAATAGGAACCATGAGAATAGTACGTTAGATCAACAGCAAGCGCAGGCAATGCGTCCGGAACGCGACGGAACGTGCTCTAACGATTCAGCGACGCAACGAATCCAACGGGACCGTCGAGAGAAATTTGGATTGCCTTGCGATCGACCGAACCAATACAGAAATTAACCTCTTAGGCACGGCTGAATTTTGCATTATTAAATTATAATTTTTCTTAAACATATGATACACATAATTTAACTCTAACAGTTTAGAATAATAATTAGTAATAGAATTGGGTATAATACATGGCATATTGGTAGCGACGGAGCCACTACAGTGGCGCGTCGTGCCTAAGAGGTTAAATCTGCTGAATTTTTCCATTGCGGCGAACAGAGAATCAAAGGTTTTAACGGTACGGTCCAGTTGAATTCACACCGACGGAGAATCGAGGATCACCGAACCGCCTGCGTGCATCCTGTCTCTCCGAGGACTATCGTCGCCAGGAAAGCAACAGTTCTGTTCTCCTCTCCGACTGCGAGATCCCTTCTATCCGAGTTTCGAGGAGCGGTGTACGATAATAGGCACGATACAGCGATAGTTTACAAGTGTCTCTTATAGTCTTGAAAATACGACGGTATATCGCGCTGCGAAGCGTTTCCGTCACGCGGCGGCGCGGAACGCCGTCGAGAACCTTCCCAGGAAAAGAGTCTGCGGATCCACGGGCCTAAAAATATTCCATTGAAACGTCGTTCGTCAGATTTTCAATTTGGAGAAACCTAGATTAAAAACTCCTTTCCCAGAAACGTTCCCGACCCGTTCCCGCGTGACCCTGCAAGAAGACAGTGGCGTGCGACGGGAACGCGATTCGCACGGGACTCGTAGTCTCTCGTTAAAAGTTGAAATTTGGCCCCTTTTCTTTGGAAGAAGAAAACTTGGCTTCGCGGCCGTCACGAGGCGCAATCTTCCGTTAAAAACGCGGCTCCCCTAGCACGCGAGCGACGGACTCGTCTCCGCTTCGTAACCCTAGGAAGACGTATGTGTGAAGAAGAGCGAAAGCGTGTAAACGCGAG